TTTTTTTTTTTTTGGTTGGTCGTGGGGCTTGAACTCTGGGCCTGAGTGCTGTCCCTCAGCTCTTCAGCACAAGGTGAGCGCTCTACCACTTGAGCTACCACCACTTCGGGTTTTCTGGTGGTTTATTGGAGATAAGAGTTTCACGGACTTTCCTGCCCAGGCTGGCTTTGAACCCTGATCCTCAGATCTTAGCCTCCTGAGTAGCTAGGATTATAGGAGTGAGCCACCAGCGCCCGGCTCAGGTTTTATTTTTCTTAAAAAAAAAAAAAACACTTTCTTAAGTGTATGACTTAAGGTTCACCAAATACATCTTCCAAAAACATTTGTTTTTTGTTTGTTTGTTTGTTTGTTTTTTTGTGTTTTTTTTTTTTGGGTCCGGTCGTGGGGCCTGAACTCTGGGCTTGGGCGCTGTCCCTCAACGCTTCAGCTCAAGGCTAGCGCTCTACCACTTGAGCCACAGTGTCACTTCTGGCTTTTTTTTTTCTTTTTGTTTATGTGGTGCTGAGGGATCAAACCCAGGGCCGCAGGCATGCAAGGCAAATGCTCTACCACTGAGCCACCTTCCCAGTCCTTCTTCCAAAAAAATTTGTAATGTGAAATTTTCTCTTATTTTCTCTATTATGTTCAGTATTGAAACATAAATGGTCAAACCTCTACTTGATAAAATATTAATTTTTTTCTATTTGGAAATTCCAAGAGGATGTTTTAACCATCTACTGCAGAAACTTTTAGAAGTGAACTTGAGAAACTTATATACCTATTTTTCTCTAAAGTTAATCTAAAAATGATGGTGAGTTTAATTTTTTTCGGCAAGCAATTCTAAATTCTGCAAAATGTTCTGTATCTGCCTTTATGTGGCCTTGGTGAGACTCCTTCCTTTCTAGCTCAAGCACTACCTAAGGCCTAGCTAGCAAGGGCTTTATTACACAGAGGCCCTCTCCTCCTCCTCCTCCCCCAACCCCCTCCTTCTCCTCCTCTTCCTCCTTTCTCCTCCTCCTCATTGTCATTATCATCTTCTTCATCATCTTCAACTTATTCCTCCTGCAGTTTGAGCTCAGGGCTTCAAGCTCTCTTGGCTGATGCTCTACCACTTGAGCAATGTCTTCATTCTTGCTTTTTGCTGATTAATTGGAGATGGAGTCTAGTGAACTTTTTTACCTAATCTGGCTTTGAGTCACAATCCTCCAGGCATCGGCCCTCTGTGTAGATAGGATTACAGAGCTCTTTTACTTCTTCTTACCAGCCCCTTTGGGAGTATAACTGACAAAAATTGTACATACTTTTGGCACATATGTGGTGATTTGATATATAGGTGAAATGATTGCACAAAATCAGCTTTAGTTTCCTGAAGGAACATGCTAAGGGCTGTTATACTTAGGGGGACACAAACCCCAGATCCTTCCTTAAGAATTAATGTGCAGCCCTCATCTTCAACCACAGGGCATTGGAACTGGAACAAGCCCATTTATATTTGTCCCTGTGGACACTATCTTTCTGGTATGGATTGTTTCCACCTTTCTCAAACTTAAGAACATTAGTATGAAAAAAAAGTCCTTGCTGGATTTTTTTAACAGGAATTCTGTTATAACTATAGATAAATGTAGAAAAATTGACATCTTAACTGTATTCAGGCTTACATCCATTTATATCTATAAAAGTTTATCTCTTCACTTATTTATTTGAATTTGTTAAATCAGAATTTTATAATTTTTAGAATATAGATTCTGTTTTATTAGATTTACATTGAATTATTTCATTTTCTTTGGCGTGATTAACAATGTTACTGTGCTTTAATTTTGGTTTCTACCATATTTTGTTACTTAATAGCAATGTGATTGAATTTTATATGTTGATCTTTTATTCTATAGCTTTAGTGAACTTGCTTATAGGTACTAAATATTTTGTTGTTATAGATTCTTTCTCCAAAGAATATATATATATATATTGTTTTTTGTTTCCTTTTCTTTCCTTATTGCACTGGATAGAACCTCTTAACACTACCCTGAATAAGATTGTAGTTAGAGACATCCTTGTTTTGTTTTTGGTCATAAGAAGAAAGCATTCGTCTTTCAGCACAAAGAATGGTGTTAGCTTTAGGTATTTTGTAGATGCCTTTTTTTAAGTTGAGACTTGACTGAGTTTATTCTTCAGTTTGTAGGAATTTTCAATATCAAGTTATTATTTGTTATGAGCTACAATGATTAATCATGAGAGTTTTATTGTGGATTTTATTTTGCCAAATGCTTTTCCACATCAATTTATGATTTCTTCATTTTGTTGATGGATTATTTCAGTTAGTTTTCAAATATTAAATCATTTTTTTATCTCTGAAATTCTCTTTAGTAATGACATATAAGTCTTTTTATACATTCCCTGATAGTAATATTTTACCAAAGATTTTTGTGTCAGTGTTTATATTAGTGTGTTTCCTTTGTTTGTTTGTTTGTTTGTTTTTGTTTTTGGCTGTGAGGGATGAACTCAGGGCTTGGGCGCCCTCTCTGAGTTCTTTTGCTCAAGTCTATCCCTCTATCACTTTGAGTCATAGCACCACTTCCAAGATATTGGCTTTTAGTTTGTAATTTTCCTCTTTCTTTTCTTCCTCTTCTCCTCTTCTCTTTTTCTGTCTTTTTATAACAATAATTCTGAGTTCATACAATGAGTTGGGAAGTATTCCCTCCTCTTTCAAAGGAGACTGTGTAAGATTGACCCTAACTGGTCTTCTTTCTATTTCTTTTATTTTGGTAGTTATAGGAATTGAACTCAGGGCTGCATGCTTGTTTGGCAGGCGTCCTGCCAATTGAGCCACGTCTCCAGCCTTCCCCAACACTTTGTATTGT